AATAGGGTGGGTCCTAAATCCTGTGACCAAAGTCCTTGTAAGAGACAGAAAAGGAGAGATACATAAAGACACATAGAGAAGAAGGCTATTTGGAGATGGAGGTGCAGATTGGAGTTACATTGCCACAAGCCGTGTAACGCCAGGAGCCACCAGAAGTTGGAAGAGAGGAAGGATTCTTCCCTAGGGCTTTGTAGGAATTGTGGCCCTGCTAACACTTTGATTTCAAACTTGTGACCTCGAAAACTGTGACAGAAGAAATTTCTTCTAATTTAAGCCACGCAATTTGTGGTGATATGTTGCAACAGCCCTAGGAAACTAATACATGTTTATATTTTGAATTCCTTTAAATGTTAGTCTGTGGCTATTGTATGTTTATAGATAAGAGTTTTTCTTTAAGTGTGTTAAAGACTGTCTGTCACTACAAACAAAAGCCAACCTTATATACCTGTTATTCTGTTTATCCTCATGAGAATGCTGTTTTGGCTTTATTTCACCTACTGTAGATGTGGCTGGTGGTTATTCATCTTCCATGCTCGATGCCATCAGAAGAGCAGTGATGGTTTCCAATACCCTTTTAATTAATAAGGTAAATGAGAAAAGCCTCACCCTCAATGAAGTCTTCAGACTAGCTACTCTCGGAGGAAGTCAAGGTAATGACTATTTTATTTCTCTCACACAATGTACAACTATGCAGATCTGTGTCCTTGGATGAGTAGGCAGGCACAAGATAGTGGTATCAGGGGAATTCAGTATTCACGACTGTCACATCTCCATGACATATCCAAACTTAGCCAGTAAAGTATATGTTTAGGCCTGTGATGGAGGAATCATTCTCTCAGTGAATTCACTGTTTTTGGCAGAATAGATGATTGATACAAAATTATCATATTAAGGGGCTGGCTAGTTAGCTCAGTTGGTTAGAGCACTTCCTTGTAACTCCAAGGTCCAGGGTTTGGATCCCTGTACTGGCCAGCCACCCCCACCTGCCCAAAATTCTCATATTAATTGTTTTAATGGATATTTGCATTGGTCACCTGCATAGGAGTTCTTTAAAATAATCCACTCTTCCACCGAGTCAAGTAACTACCTGTCTATTTGCCTAAGTGATAATAATAATAGTAAAAAAAA